TTTAGCCAAGCACCGATCGCCTGCTGCAGATGTGCCTGAAACCTGGCCTTTGCCTTGGCGGATCTCAGCGCCTGGTGCCGGCGACCCAAGTAAACAGAGAAGTTATGTTTTCATAACGTCCAGATTGTCCAGCCTTGGTTCACCCGCGAAATTCCTGAGACTTTTGATAGATGTCATGCTATGTCTCATCCGAGTGTTTGGGGGTTCACTCAAATATATGTGTCCCTTAGGGTGTGAATTGGGAGAACACAAAATACTTTCAAATGTGCTTTTGGAATTTTTGTAAAATGATATCGAGGTCGGCATCGAGGAGCAATTGTGTGATTTGACCATATGTGGTTGAGTTATAAAATGGTGAGACCTGCTCATTGCAGTTGAGATTCATATCTTGGGCTCGCTTATGGGAGGCCCTTTTTTAAGTTATAGCTCCAGCTACATTTAATTGATTCCAGAGATGTGGACCAGCCTCCTTCCTCTCGCTTGCACTTCCATGTTGTTAAATATTCTTTCGCCAGAGCGTATCAGATTCATAAGCTGTCTTCAGAACATCAGAGAATTTAACTTGGAATAACAACCATGTCTTTGAGTGTGTGTCTCCTAAGTCAGAGGACTATGATTTATTAATAGTGTTCAACTGTTTCCCATGATAACTGGAAGCAGTGTAAATTTCTAAAGGAGATTGTTTTCCTTTTATTAACTGTGAAATAGGTCTCCATTCTCCCTGCAATTTAGGGACTATTTTTATTGTAAGGATTATGTCCACTCATATTGAGTTGGCTTTCTGAACTGTCTGTCTCATGAATTAGTGACTTGCCTCCAGCTAACACTTTTATGGTTCCATTAATGAATCATCTGGGAATTGCACTCTTTATAATTAACAATATCAAAAAGAAACCACGGCTGTTATAAATACTTGGTACTATATAATGGCAGGTAAAGTTCCTTCAAAATGCTTCAAATGCACCGTTGCATATGGTGGTAAATACCTCTGCAGCTGCCTTTGGTGGTAAACAGGGCAAACCTCAAGGAGGAAAATAAAAGGAATTTGGTAAATATTGTTTGTTTGCTTTTGTTGTTTCATGCTCGCAATCACTCTCTGTCTTCCTCTTGCAGTCTCACTGTCTTCAGGGCTGTAGCAGTAAGCATGGTGTTCTCAGAGGTACCTGATATTGTTTGAGTGGACAAGAAGAACTAGTTTCTGTGTATTATCTTCTTGTGTGATGCCAGCAAGTAGACTGAATAGTTAGGCTGGAATACACTGCAAAGTGCACATGATGATAGAGAAAGGCAAGATCTGCGTGGAGCAAAAATGACCAGGGAATTCAGCAGTATCTTAAAGGAGGGGTAGGAAATGTTGGATGGCAAAGCACGATTGTGGAGGCAACAGCTTGTCTGACTTGGTAGAGAGACCAGTGTGACTTGCAGAAGGATTCTGTTAGGAGTACTTAGAGAAATTTAGTTGGGAAAATTGGAGCCAGCTTATGGGAATCCCACAATGGTAGCCTGAAAAACTGGGTTTGATGCAGCAATTTGAGCCTGGAGGCACGAGAGACATCTTTGCACTTGTGTGCTGCCACCATTTCCTCGCAGCCTATTGTCTTAAACCCCTGAAATCTGACTTCATCGGCTCCCAGGCTGCTGACATGGAGCTCTTGAAGGTGATCTCCAGCTGTCCTGGAAGGAGGAGGTGCTCCCATTTGCTTGGGGAGGTCTCTCTGTGGAAGAATCTTCTGTCAGGAGACAAAGTACATTCTGTCTTCCCTTACTCTTTTGACCCTGTGTGGCATGTAATACCTGATTTAATATTAGAGGTGGGTTCTTTTTTCACACTGTTGTAACTAGTGGCCCCTTGCGTGTACAGCCTAGCCCCACTGAAATGACATAAGGGCTAGCAGTGGGAGTTAAGAGGACAGAGTGTCTAAACCAGGCTGAGGTGTCCTGAAATTTTGCATGCCAGAGAAGATAATTGCCATAAAAGTTACCTGGCTCTAGGTTTCTTTAGACTAAATTTTGTCTCACAGCATGCTTATGGTTTCTGGGCTGTAAAATACCAAGCACTGCTCTGTCACAGGGA